AAGTGGTCCGAACCCCTGGTGTTTTTAACATTTAGACTTGGAAATGTGCTTCGCGCCACAACAGCGTGCACTTTTTCGACATCTCAACTTCCAAAAGTGGTCCGAACGTGGTGTGTTTGGTACATTTTGATTTGGAGAAATGTGCTTCGCGCCACAGCGGCGTGCACTTTTCAACTTCCAAAAGTGGTCCGAGGCTGAGGTGTTTTGTACATTTTGACTTGGAAATGTGCTTCGCGCCACAACGGCGTGCACTTTTTCATCTCTCGTCTGGCCAGATGGCTCCGCACCCGCCGCTTTAGCGAGCCTACTTTTCGACCCTCCCAAGCCACAAATCATTGGGAAAACACAGTGTTTCGCGACTTTCCTATCTTTTCGCGCATCTGCATCTTCTTTCTTCTGACTCTTTCTCTTCTCTGATCTTCTCTCTTCTAATCTTTCTCTTCTCTCTGCCTCTGCCCTGCTCTGCTTTTCATCTGTCCATATTGTTGGAAGTTTGACTTCTAAACTTCCTTCGGCTACATTACACTACATTCCAGTACACTAAATAACGCCACACTACACTACATTACACTACACTACATTACACTGAATAACACTGCACCACAGATAGACAGGTAGACAGATAGACAGACAGACAGACAGATAGATAGATAGATAGATAGACAGAATGACAGGTAGACAGCGAGACATATAGACAGATGAAAGAGAGAGAGAGAGAGATAGAGAGATAGATAGAGAGATAGAGAGAGAGATAGATAGATAGATAGATAGATAGATAGATAGATAGATAGATAGATAGATAGATAGATAGATAGATAGATAGATAGATAGATAGATAGATAGATAGAGAGAGAGAGATAGAGAGGTAGATAGAGAGATAGAGAGATAGAGAGATAGAGAGATAGAGAGATAGAGAGATAGAGAGATAGATAGATAGATAGATAGATAGATAGATAGATAGATAGATAGTCAGATGGACAGATAGATAGACAAATAGATACATAGACACATAGACAGATAGTTAGATACCAAGATAGATAGATAAATAGATAGATAGATACATAGACACATAGATAGACAGACAGACAGATAGACAGACAGATAGGTAGACAGATCGATCAGTAGGTAGGTAGGTAGGTAGGGAGGGAGGGAGGGAGGGTAGGTAGGTAGGTAGGCAGATAGGTAAGTAGGTAGGTAGGTAGGTAGGTAGGTAGGTAGATAATCAGAGAAAGATAGAGAAACAGAGAGAAAAAGAGAGAAAGAGAGAGAAAGAGAGGAGACTTCGCTCTGCCATCACTGATTCACAACAACCAACCTCTCCTATAGGTTTCCTATTTTTGAAACTTCCGCCACCGCCTTGTGCGGTACTACTGGTACTACTAATACTACTTACAACTCTTACCACAACTCCCACACCTCCTACTACTCCTACTCCTGCTACTACCCCTCCTCCTCCTCCTCCTATACTCCTTCTTCCCCAAATACTAAACTGGTAGTGCCGGTACAGCGCTCCAATCGTCTACCGGTACTAGACACTGATCGACCGGTACTCAGTTGGTATGCGGCCCAAGGGTTCTTCAAGCAGGCGCTTGCTACTCAAGCTGCTTCTGATCTGCAGCTCTCTTCGTCTCTTCTTCTTCTTCTTCTTCTTCTTTCTCTTCTCTTATCATGCATATCTTCTGCTTCTCCCTCAGGCTTCCGTAGGGTGCGCATCAACCTCCCTTGCAACCTCCCTCTCTGCTTCCGCCCTCTCCCTTCCATACAGCGGTCTGCTGTCAAGCGAGAGGCTCATGCATAGTACATGGCGCTACTTTCCTGGAGGCGATGCTCATTTGGTATACGGTCAACTACACAGAGTGCACATTAGACTCCCTTGGGGCCACCTCTATGGCCGGCGGCCTTGCCCACGGCAATAAAATAGATACCAACCCAAAACGACAGACAGATAAATAGATAGACGGTAGGTATTTCCGAGATGGATCGACAGCTAGAAACCTGGACGATCGCAAGCTGAAAGTCATGAAAAGAGATATAGAGATAGACAGATGTAAGAAGACAGACTCAAGGTTGGGGAGTAAGACTGACAGACAGAAAGGACAGAGAGATAGACACATAGACAGGTAGACGCATAGATAGAAAGATAAGTTGGGAAGACAGAAAGATAGATAGATAAATTGATAGGAAGATAAATAGAAATTTAGTTAGGTAGCTTAGATAGATAGACAGATAGATGCAAAGATGGACAAATACCTGGATAGGTCAGGCAAACAACGAGGTGAACAGAAAGACCAATAGCAGGGCAGATCGCCCTGTTAGCCATGCCGTGTGCAGCCGTGTGCAGCCAGAAGGTCTGCCGTGCATTGCATCCGGTGAGTACTGCATGCACTCAAACAGCAACACTCCAACCACCTGTCGATCCGTCAGCAGCTCTGCCGCCCGTGCGACTCCGCAACTCAACATGTCCTATAAGTCTCCTATCTCTGAAACTTTCGCCGACGCTTACTGGCACACGCAATCTTGGTAGGGATCGATTTGACCGTGGTTGATAATGATGGAAAAGGCTCGGCGGAGGAAGATGGTGGGGGGAAAAACTGCTTTGAAAGGAATGGCAAAACAGCGATGTCAAGACTTGGAAAAAGGACCTATCGACGAAATTGTTCCACATACCTACTCCGAGTATCTTCGAGTCTCCTGCTGAACTTTGCTTTGGCCCCTTGTTGAACTTTGCTTGGGTCCCTTGCGAAACCCTTTCCATTGGCAAGCCACCATATGTCGCGGTAACAGACTGGCAGCGTGCCGCTGCAGTTCTTCTGCGGGTGGGGGCGACACATCCTTCCTTGGTAGGGTGACATTGATTTGGAAATCTGAACTTCTGGAAGCTAGCAAAAAGGGGCCATTCAACGCCTTCAATCAAGCCACTTAAAAACAACTGCTACAGCAACTGTCTCACCCAGGTTTTCATGCGGCATGCCCACTGCAGCAACCTCTGCCACAGCTGGGTGATCAAAGATGGCCTGGCCAGATCATTTTGGTCAGCAGCGTGAACAAAAGACAATCCAATAGTACCGCGGCATTAGCATACAAACAAAGAGTAGCTGAACCGGAGTATGGGACAATGCTGGGCACAACACGTCCACATGCTGAATTCATGTCCTTGCGCTTTTTTCCCCCAAACGGTGTGGCCACCCTTGGGGTTCTTGCGGTCATAGTTATAAGGCCCGCTGTTCATTCGAGATGGTATCATGCGTGCGCGGGGTTTTTGATGACCCTTACAGCACAAAAGTTCCCTTGTGAGATGTCCATGTGCACTTCGACTGCGCAGGCTGGGGGCGTCGCGAAGATCTCTCTTCCAAAGTTCTCGCTTGACTAGCACACCATGCGCGTTGTTTGAGCTATGTACATTCTGTGGGGAAGGCGTCGCACCTTCGGGACATTTTTAAGTTTGAAACGTCGCTTTGCGTGACAGGTTCAGCACATCGGACACTTTTTAATCCACGTGGCACGCGTGGCGCTTTTTGGATGCTGTTAAAACATTGGCAGGCGTGGGCAAAATGCGGGGGGGTTTGGAAGTAATTTTTCAGCAGGGGTACTCATGGGGGGCGCAGGTGCAAATTGTAGAAACGCGCATTTTTTGAGAGGTACTGTGATGAAAGCATCTTCACATGAAAAACATGCAAAAAACAATGGAAAACCAAAAAAAAACACAAAAAGTTCAGACCCATGTCCCCTGCCAGGCCTCTCCCCAGACCTTGCCCATGGGTCTGAACTTTTTGTTTTTTTTTCCGGTTTTCTCGAGGTTTTGGCCAAACTGCAAGAAACCATGGAAAAACAAAAAAAACAAAAAGTTCAGACCCATGGACAGGGTCTGGGGAGAGGCCTGGCAGGGGACATGGGTCTGAACTTTTTTTTGTTTTCCCATTGTTTTTTACAGTTTGGCCAAAACCTCGAGAAAACAAAAAAAAACAAAAAAACAAAAAGTTCAGACCCATGTCCCCTGCCAGGCCTCTCCCCAGACCTTGCCCATGGGTCTGAACTTTTTGTTTTTTTTGATTTTCTCGAGGTTTTGGCCAAACTGCAAAAAACATGTAAAAACCAAAAAGCAAAAAAAAGTTCAGACCCATGTCCCCTGCCAGGCCTCTCTCCAGACCCTGTCCATGGGTCTGAACTTGTTGTTTTTGTTTTTATGTTTTTGGTTCTTCCATTGTTTTTTTGCATGTTTTTCATGTGAACATGCTTTCATCACAGTACCTCTCAAAAACTGCGCGTTTCTACAATTTGCACACCTGCGCCCCCCAGGCCAAACTGCATGGGTAGGAGTTTTAAAATCAGTATTAGAAAGATATAACAACCAAAAACATAGTAGCATAGGAACAACTCCTAACAAAGCACACAATTTAGATAACGCAGTTCAAGTAAATACACACTTGATAATGAAAGAAAAACGAAACCGTAAATATCCTAACATATGTGAAGGAGATTATGTAAGGATATATGATAAAGGTAAGGGAAATTATGTATCAAGAAAAGAGACTAGAAGTCAATGGACAGAAAAGAAATATAAAGTTATTTTGGTAGCAAAGGATTTAAAGGATAATAGATATTACAAACTAGAAGGAATGAGTAAAAGATACAATAGGCATGAGTTGCTATTGGTTTTTGAGTCTTGTCTCATGATGATAAATTCCTGTTTGAATTTCCATAGTTGTTTTTATTGCTGTTTGCTATTGACGTAATTACATTTCATAGCTTATTAGAGAATTCATTGTCTTTAATATTTTTAAAAATCCACTTGAATAAACTTTTATTACATCATTATCTTCACTTGGTGGGGAGAAAATTTCCTGAAGCATAAAGAATTCTGAATATTCATTTTTGGAATTGTCAAGAGACAATTCTATTAAAGGATTACTTTTTTCATTTCATGGAACATTTCTTCTAAAGCAACATATAATATAGCATGTTTCTTTGGTAGCGTTTTTATATCAGATTATAGATATCATTTATAGTACCTGCAGATGACATGGGAGCTGTCGGACATATCCAAAAAACGCAAACTCCCATGTCATCTGCAAAGTGAAAAACAGAAAAATGCATAAGTCCCGTGTCATCTGTAAAGTGCCTCGGAAAAAAAAATCACATGACATGGGACCTCTGCATCCAAAAAGAAACAAAACATGTCATGTCAACTAACTCATTCACTGTGCATTTCACATCCCACATGAACAAAGATAGTATATTAGTGTATGACTACCCACTAGCAGTTAGAATAATCCAAAATTATACGTCAGCAGTTAGAATATTCCAAAGTCACATGAATCCAATCACCTCCTTGTTCTATTTAGCAACTATTTAGCAGCTATTCAGAAGCTATTTAGCAGCTCTTTAGCATTTATTCAGCAGCTATTTGCCAGCTATTTAGAAGCTATTTAGCAGCTATTTCGAAGCTATTTAGAAGCCATTGATCAATTATTCAGCAACTATTTGGAAGCTATTTTGCAAGTATTTAGCAGGTATTTAGCAATAATTCAGCAACTATTTAGCAGCTATTTTGCAGCAATTTAGCAGCTATTTAGCAACTATTTAGTAGTTATTCAACAACTATTTAGCAGCTATTTAGCAGCTATTGAGCGGCTATTTAGCAGCTACTTAGCAGCTATTTTGCAGCTACTTAGCAGCTATTTAGCAACTATTTCGAAGCTATTAGCAGCTATTTAGCAATTATTTAGCACCTACTGTATTTAGTAGTTATTCAACAACTATTTAGCAGCTATTTAGAAGCTATTGAGCAGCAGCTACTTAGCAGCTATTTAGCAGCTACTTAGCAGCTATTTAGCAGCTATTCCGAAGCTATTTAGCAGCTATTTAGCAACTATTTCGAAGCTATTTAGAAGCAATTTATCAATTATTCAGCAACTATTTGGAAGTCATTTATCAATTATTCAGCAACTATTTGGAAACTATTTTGCAACTATTTAGCAGCTGTTTAGCAGCTATTGAGCAGCTATTTAGCAGCTACTTAGCAGCAATTTAGCAGCTATTTAGCAACTATTTAGTAGTTATTCAACAACTATTTAGCAGCTGTTTAGCAGCTATTGAGCAGCTATTTAGCAGCTACTTAGCAGCTATTTTGCAGCTACTTAGCAGCTATTTAGCAGCTATCTCGAAGCTATTCAGCAACTATTTGGAAAACCGTCCGGACGGGTCGGAGCTGAGCAGCTGGAATTTTAAGGAATTTTAAGGAATTGGAAGTCCCATGTCATGTGGTAAATTTGTTTTTTAAGGAATTTAAAGGGATTTTAAAGAATTTTAAAGGGATTTTAAGGAATTTAAAGGAATTATAAGGAATTTAAGGCAATTTAAGGGAATTTAAACAAATTTAAAGGAATTGGACGTCCCATGACATGTGGTAAATGTGTTTCTTGAGGAATTTAAAGGGAGTTTAAGGAATTTCAAGGAATTTTAAGGAATTTTAAAAAAATAAAAGAATTTAAAGGAATGAAAAAGAATTTAAAAGAATTTAAAAGTATTTTAAAGAATTTCAAGAATTGGAAGTCCCATGTAATGTGGTAAATACATCTTTTAAGGAATTTAAAGGAGTTTAAGGTAATTTTAGGGAATTTAAAATGAATTTCAAAGAATTTAGAGGAATTTAAAAGAATTTAAAGGAATAGGAAGTACCATGTCATGTGGTAAATTCGTCCTTTAAGGAATTTAAAGGAATTTGTGAGAATTTAAGGGAATTTAAAGGAATTGGAAGTCTCATGTCATGTGGTAAATTCGTTTTTTCAGGAATTTAAAGGAAATCTAAGGGAATTTTAAGGAATTAAGGAATTGGAAGTCCCATGTCATGTGGTAAATTCGTCTTTTAAGGAATTTAAAGGAATTTAAGGAATTTTAAGGACTTAAGGAATTGGAAGTCCCATGTAATGTTGTAAATTCGTCTTTTAAGGAATTTAAAGGGGCTTTAATGAATTTAAAGGAATTTTAAGGAATTTGCAAGAATTTAAAGGGATTGGAAGTACCATGTCATGTGGTAAATTCGTCTTTTAAGGAATTTGCGGAATTTAAGGGACAAGAATTTAAACGAATTTAAAAGAATTTAAAGGAATATAAAGGAATTTAGAGGAATTTTAAAGAATTTTAAGGAATTGGAAGACCCATGTTATGTATCTTTCAAGGAATTTAAAGGAATTTAATGGAATTTAAAGGAATTTCAAAGAATCTAAAGGAATTAAACAGAATTTAAAGGAATTTTAAGGAACTGGAAGTCCCATGTCATGTGGTAAATTCGTCTTTTAAGGAATTTAAAGGAATTTGAAGGAATTTCAAAGAATTTTTAGGAAATTTTCAAGAATTTAAAAGAATTTAAACGAATTTAAAAGAATTTATATAAAGGAATATAAAAGAATTTAAAGGAATTCAAAGGAATTTAAAAGAAATTAAAGGAATTGGAAGTCCCATGTCATGTGGTAAATTCGTCTTTTAAGGAATTTAAAGGAATTTAAGGGAATTTTAAGGAATTTAATGGGGTTGGAAGTCCCATGTCATGTGGTAAATTCGTCTTTTAAGGAATTTAAAGGAATTTTCATGAATGTAAAGCAATTTTACAGAATTTCAAGGAATTTAAAGGAATTTAAAGGACTTTTAAGGAGGTTTAATGAATTTAAAAGAATTTACAAGATTTTAGAGGAATTTAAAGGAATTTACCTGCCATTTCCCATCTTGGACGTCTGTGTCTTCCTGGAAGTCCCATGTCATGTGTAAATTTGATCACTTATTCCCATATTATCTGTCAATAAACTGGAAAAATACCTGCCCGTTAGGTCGGCGCATAACTCCCATGTCATGTGTAAAAAAAATCATAGCAACATCGATACATAAATCCCATGTCATGTGCCAAAAAACATCGGCTAAATTGGCCGCAAAGTCCCGTGTCATCTGCGCCTAGTATAACACTTTAGTGAGTATCATATCAGATAATAATTCTTCTCCCATAATATTTATTAATTACTAT